TTCAGCAGTAATCCTCAAGTACGGTTTGATCTAACAGAATCAATGACTGGGGTAGAGGGAGATGGGTCAGATTTTGTTCTCAGTTACAGTGGTCTAAATAGACATGACAGGCATTACACAGCAGTAAAAGTGAGCTGAATTTGCTCACTTTAGTGAAGCTAATGCATTTTCTGCGTGCCTCTCAAATTACTGCCTGGTTAGTTAAAAGGAGAAGCGTTCAAATATTGATCACAAAGATGTTGGGGATGAAGCAACATTTTAAAAATTAATGTCTATTTCTCATTTCCTAATGATCTCCACCTATAACTTTAACCAGTCCTGGTTGGTAAGGCATGTAATGCAGTTCAGGGTAACTTACATCCTAAACTATTAAAATTTTAGTCATGTTTAAAATCACTTTGTAAGCTTTCGTAGTCTTCAGTCAGAGACGCAAAACAGACACGCAGAAGTCACCTGCTTGTGTTTCTGATCCTTTTAAGGTTTCAAACGCTGTTGAGAAAAGCTGTGAGTTTGGTTAGCTGAAGGTATTAAAAAGAAATCAATAAAATGTTCTAATTTGAAACAGCTCCCTGACCTGAGGCTGAATACGACTGCAAAATGAGTCTAGTGCTTCTCCTCTAACATGCATTGCATGTATGCAGCTCAACCCAACTCCTTTATCGGTAATCTGAACAGATCAGTCATGGACCAAAACTGCAACTTTCTCCTTAAAGATGGGCCTGACAAACCCCCTTTCTTCCTTGTTCCCAGTTACTTAGGAATTGTATGCTTCTGTTAAAAAGAGGAAAACCGTTTCTCAAGGCACAAAGGCTTCAGAGAAGAAAGCCCCCCCCCCAACATGCTCAGGCCTTTCACACTTGAAGAAGAAATACAGTAATCGCCACTCACAAGTCACTGTGTGTGCACTGGGTATCCATGCTCCCAGTCAAAACTCCCCTCTGATTTGTGATCGGCCAGTCCCACAGAAATCAAATGCCATCTAAATGTGGTTCTGTTTCTGGAAGAACTTTTTTCCCCCTTCTTTAAGCAAAAGTTGCCATGCACAGTCATACTTAGTGAACTCAGGGTGGGGATGGTCTCTATCTAAGCTAATAGCAGGAGAAATGAAGAACTATGCCAGAGCTTAGATACCTTTTGTCTGAGCCTACTACTTTAACCACAGTGCCATGCTTCTGCTCAAGCTCTGAAAAATACTTTTGCAAAGAAAGGAGCGTGAATGCAGAGAGGACAAGGGAGAAGGACTCATTATGACTTCTGTTAGTGTCATGTTTTTTTACATATCATACTTTTTTCTGAGGCTGCTGTTTTCCATCCATGTACAGACACGGCCCATAGCTGAACTAATGATTGATGTCCACTGGCCCCATTAGAGAAGTTGGTGCTGAGACATTGTCCCATATGGCAACGTGGTCAGCTCTAATATGGGGATTTTTTTGAGAGCTGTCTCTTAGGAGCCAGAACGCAAACAGCAAGCCTGGGCTGGGACTTTCCTTTCAGAAAGTCCCCTGTATTGCCCTAATCCTTCTATCAGTGATTACACTCTACTGATTAGGGATGTAAAGGATAACGATTATTGCTGAACACAAAATATAATACTTGGCATTTACATAGCGCTATTCAACTGCAAAGTGGTTTACATAATTAACCATGCTGGGATTGCCTTCTCTGCACCACTGCGATAGTCTATTCCTAAATAGTTTTGCAAGATACATGTGAAAACCGATTAGGCAGAGCAGTAACAATGGATCTGTGGGAGCTCTTTGCTCTTTGCTTTTATCCTCAGTGCCCAGCACAGGGAGCACAGAAATTTTAACACTCTGGTACTGTCAAGACAGTGCATGGTAATTTCATAGTTGCCATGTTAGAAAAGAGAGTGATGTAACATGACTGTACATGGCTTGCGAGATGGCACTTTCCTATTATCTTTTGGGCTCCTAAGACCTGGCTAACATTAGTTTCATGTGAAACTTATCAGTCACTCTTTAAACTGTAATAGGTTTCAAGGCCAAAGGAATCATTAAGACAACCGAGCATGATCTGTAGCACTATACAGGCCACAGACTATTGAGTCCTGCCTCAAACCCAAGCCTGTCGCTGAACAAGACCATTTCTTCTAGACAAAAAACTCTGTCTTGACTTCAGAGAAAAAGAATCCGCCATCCTGCTGTTCAATGGCATCCTACCATCAGGTATCTGTATCTTGAGTTTTTAGCTCTTGGTTCAATTACAGAGCCCTTTTATTTCAAAACCCTTTTCCCTTCCTGCTCTCTTTTTAAGGACTGCAATCACATCACTACTTCAGCTTTTCCTGGTTATATAAAGCTTTTAAAATTTCTCACCATAATGTAAATTTTCAAAATTCTCATTATTCTTTTACATCTTTTCTGAATCCAATTAACTTGTGAACATCTTGAAAAAATGTGACTAGGTGAACTAGACGTAGTATATATATTGTTACACTTATTTTAAAGTAAAGGGAGCAGAAGCATGGGGTTTATATCCCATAAATCCTCCAAATAATGCTTTTTTTCACCCATCTTTGCTATATGCTTTTAACAGTTCTTGGCGTCTCACTGAAACCAGATTAATATTTACTGCAAACATCTTTAGTATTTTTTACTACATTTTTACTAAGCAAAGTTAATGTAAAGGAGTAAAACTTCAAATACTATTTGATATAAGTGGTGATATTAAAAATTTTATCTATATTTCACATGGCTTATTCTTGGGCTAGCATCACAAAATGCATTTCTCTTGTCAGTAACTGATGCATTCTCATATTTGATCGTAGTATTGGAAGAGAAAAACATTAACAAAATTGCAAGATGCTGAGGCCTGTTAAAGGTAACCAAAAGAACCTTCCACATGCAGTTGTTCGGATGCAGGACTGGAAAGCTTATTAGCCTGTTTGCTGGACCTGAGCTGTTTGTCTTTCACACACAGTACGGTTGCCATCAACCTACTGCACTGAACACAGACAGCTCCCGCAGCCCCAAAGATGCACATGGAGTTTGGCCAAGCAGTTCTTCTATTCTGTTAGTGACCCCAAATTTTGAATTTCTCAGACCTTTTCTTAGTAGCCTGCTGCTCCTCTTATCTTCTATCATAAAGAAGAGTATATGTGAATCTTGACACTGCCACACTGAAAGATGTTTAGGATTTCAACCCAAATGGCAATAGAAGAAGTAAAGGGTAAAAGAGCAGGTTATTGTATCAGAATGTGGTAGGTAGCCCATCCATCATCTCAAATAGTTCATAAAACCTTGGAAGCATTGGGAGAGGTTATCATCTTTGGCTGATTTAAGACCTCAGAGGCAAGACTAAAGCCCTGCCTGTCTGTACCCCGCTAGCACCTCTGGAGGAGAATTTGAGAAAGCTATGTAAGATTTTTTGAGTTAAGCCAAGGCAGTGCAAGTGCTTCTTCCTAAAGCAGAAGAAAAGTTGGAGCACTTTTCCTAATTCAAGAAGCAGAGAAAATGAAATCAGAAAGATCACCCCCAAGAGAACTGATTGAACTGAATATGAAAAGAGAAGGACAGAGCTAATAAACCTGAACTGTCAGTGATGCAAGCCAGACAAGGACAAAAGGAGGAAGCCAGCTATAGTGTTCACCAGTCCTTAGGAGACAAACACTGGCAGAGTGCTGTCAGAGAATCAGAAGGATGCAACAGCAGTGGCAATATAGCAAAAAGCATTCCCAGCCCATCTGTGATGAAGGATGATTGAATTCTGCTGGGAAAAACGTATTGACTGTAGGAGAAGGTTGCAAACACCATGGCTGGTTTCCATTTTGACTACACTTGTGGAAACCAACCATAGCAACAAAAGGAGACAGGACAGAAATGAAAAGGGGTTGAAATGGTTCTTTGTTATTACTCTGTTGCTCTTCATTCCAACACAAGGTGTCCCTTTGACTTTAAAGAGAAGGTACTGCTTGGTTCCTGTCTGACCACCTGCTTCGCTCTCCACACAGCACAGAACTACATAATATTTAGGCATCAACACAATATAAATTTTTAAAAGAAATAAGCTTTCCTGGTCAAAGGAGAAATAAATAAAACTTACCATTTGTTACAAAAAGCAGAGAGTTTAGTTGCTAACCTGCTGACTGGGTGGAAGAGATTGGTTTGGGATCTGGAGGTTTAATTAGGTTCACACCCAGAACTTGCTGTTACAGAACCCAGAGGGTAAAGAGGAAGGGGAAAAAAAAAAAAAGCTCAGACTTACATCTGTTTGAATGATGCTCCATGCATTAGTTAGGCCAATATTTCCATCTGTCCCATACAAATGGAGCCCTTTCTTCAGATCCCGCTGAGCATACTTGTCAATCTAAAACCAACAACAGAAGACACAATCCTCAAAAATTTGCTGAGTACCACATTTCAGAATCAAACCACATGGAGCAGGGAGATGTTGGACAACAGTCCTATACTGAAATGAATAAAAAGTTAACCGACATTTCCTAAAGCCTTTGCCCAGTAGAGCTGGTATGTATTACAGGTATCTGCATTTTGTAAAGAACGTGAGGAATTCCTGTTCTGAGTTAATGTTCATGTTTTCCATCAGACCTCCAGAACATCTTTTCCCTTCTCACTTAACCACCAAAGTATTATAGAGAGACTGGATTCAGTTTAATCACTCATTTTTTGCAAATGAGGCCTATATATGAAAACATTCATCTACGCACAGCATTTCCTTTTAGCTTAATATCTTTAATTGTGACCAAGTACCCCTCAGCATCTTCCACATGCTTCCTGGGAGATCAACAGCAGCACTGACATTGTACTGATGCTCCGAATTGCGTTCATTATATCAGCCAGGGTACCCCACTTCTTACAGCAGGATGGACAGAGCAGGAAATGAGATATCGAAGACTCAGGACAGACAGGATTTAAGAATTTAGTTACTAAATGGAACTGCTTTTAAATAAATGCATTTTTGTTGATTTAATGAAAGTACAAAGTTCTGCTTTAGAGGCTTTTGCAACTGAAGATGGTGCTTTCTGGTTGAGAGTCTCTGCTGGTGAAGCAGGCTATTGTTGGATCCACTGGTCACCACCAGGTAGTATCCAAAATGATTGCAAGTGCCTCTCTCCTAGTCTAACCATATATACACATTTCTACAGAATCAAGCAAACACAAAAAAGGAAGTAAATAATAAATGGATATTCACCGTTTAACCTGATTTTTCTTTTGTAAATGAAAAACACTGAATAATGCTGCTCAAATATGCCCGTACATTGCCCCCTCCCCTGGGTGCTTGCCAATGTTAGTGGTCTGTTCACATCAGAGGTATAGCAAGAAGGGTGAGCAGACCTGTCGCATTTTCTTCTCCATCAATTTGCTATAAATCTGACTGCAAAATACAGTGCCACTCCAACATCTTTCGGCTTCAATAGTCAAAAAGAAAACCAAAATTAAATTCACAACTTGCTTCATGGGGACAGTCTAAGTTAATACATACTCTCTTCCATATTGGACAACAGACAGCCATGGTGTATTCTCTAGCGATTGCCCCTCTGACACTAGTCATCCCAGCTGAGGGGGGTCTAAAATGAAGTAACCAATGCTAATTTTGAGTTAACAGAGGGAACAAAGGTATTCTGCTTCTACCATACACTTGGATTTTCCTTCTGCTTTGTTCAGTCAGAATTGTTTTCATTTGCTCCTGGAAAAAAAAGTGGATGCAAAGCATCTTCCACAGTGTAAAAGAGGAATTTTCAACCCACTACATCATAATTATTATGGGATAAGTGTAACGTTACTCAACAATATGACTCCATGAAAAACTATGACCTTAAAAGTTTATCATGTCCAAAAAAATCTCTGCTGTATGTACAAAGGGTTGTGCTTGGTCTCTCCAGTTCTTTTGTTTCCTTCACGAAAGTTTACCACCATCAAGCTGAGCCACTAATAAAATAGCTTTGGGACAGTACAAGAAAGATGTACAACTTAATCTCAGCACCCTATCATGCAAGCACTTTCTCATGGATAACTATCTTGAACAGTAGGTGCTGTGCTCCCACTGTAATTATCATGTAAGCTGCTTTTGACTTTACGCAGAGATTATACATAGTCACTGGTATGCTAATTAGAAGAGAAAACCAAAGCTGAAAGCTATCATTAAATTTGGAATTAGTTGAGAAAATTACAGGCAATAAATTATAAACTTATATGTATGGGGGATTCCTAGTATTCATTTAAGAATTAGATTGAACTGGGTTTCAGCTCTTCACTTACCCTCAGCTCCCTGTGTCTCAAATGGACCTGCTGTGGCCTCAAGCAGAGCCATCAATTAGGATGGGAGGGTACGGTTCTGTTGCTAGTCTGAGAGAGGCTTTGAAATTTAGTTCGTGTCCTACAGAGGTAGTGAGGTAAATTAATTGTTGAAAAACTCATTCAGAAAGGGACAGAGGTGAAGAGAAACAGCATAGCTGAGGGCAGGTGGGGACTGAAATCTAGCTAGTAGATCTGTTGCCTTGAAGCCAAAACAGCAAGGTCTATTTGGAATATTAATTTATCACATCTGAGAAAATCTGCTCTGTGAAGTGAGAGAGCTATGCATCGGCCTACAGTTCATATCACCACTAATCTGGAACAAGGGAGATAAGGTCAAATGAAACAGTGATGCTTATCTGAAAGGCAAATGCCAGGCTACCGAAAGGATACAAAATGCAAAGTTTGCATTTCCTCACTCAAATTTTGCTTTGCAAACCAACGCAGTGGCTCAGCATGATAATTCCTTTTACCAGGGCTCACAGGCTGCCCTTGTTAATGCAATCTTCATGTCCTGTTTAAGATCAATAATAATAACAATAATAACTTAAGAATAATTTAATAACTTACAATCCACATTTATAAAGTACTTCAAGATCAGGAACAATGTTTTGTTAGTCCATGTGTACTTTAACATGGTCTCAAGAGACTGCCTCACTAAGCA